ACCAGTCAGCTTTCGATTAATTTTCCAGAATTTTTTGTTAGTGTTACCTGTACCCGAACTTCAGATATCTCTTCGGATTAGGTCCATGAATTAATCATGACCAAGGAATATAATGCATACCTATACCAGTTACAGAGTTCCGTTTAGTAATGGCACTGGGTACCCTTCTAGATGACTGTACGATTTTTGGCCAAATCCTTTCCAGTTTGGGTCGAGGATACTCCCGGAAAAAGGATTCAAAGGTTTTGTCTTTCTCTTCCTCGGCCTTTAAACTTTTGGATGAATGGTACACTTCTGGTTAGAAGGCACTATATATTTACAAACACCCATACTTTCTGCTGAATTAGAAGCCGAGTCTAATGATATAGCTGCTGGTAGTACTAAAAAATCATCCCGACCAGGGTAGCTTTTTAGAGTTTGATGGGGATGATGAGTCATTATCCAAGAAGATATCTTTGACATAAGTAATTCCTTTTTTTTTTTCTTCTTTTAAAAAGTGTTCAGACATTACAATTATTATTATCATAACTTTTTTTTAATTTGAAGTCACGATTTAAACAAAGTAAAACAAAAATTCAAAATTAAAGATATCCATCTAGCGCAGTATGAGCTATGATGCTTAATTTCATTGTAAATAATGTATAATATTTCTATTCCGTTTTAGCTGTGCTGAAGTACGCGACACAGGAAGATTACAGATGGCAAAATGAAGGCTATTACCCTCGAAGGCGGGGTGGGCGCTCAAAATTAATACCAAACTCATAATTTTAACGGAACGGAATAATTGCAATGGATAAAAATGACGTAATAAATCAAGTGAAAGTACGCGTCACTCATGCCGAAAAATTAATCTCTTGTCGGTGATAATTAAAACAAAACGCAGTGGCCGGAGCAAAAATTGAGAAGATCAATTTTCGCTGTGCTTCAATTTAACCCCCAATTCCAGAACCCTCCTCTTTTACTCTCCCCCAGCCCTCTTTCTAAATATCGCCGCCGGTGTAATTGAAAGACGTTAGATTTAATGAATACTTCGATTACGTATTCCATTCAACCGCAGTTAGTTCTAAGCAGCGCTTAGCAACTGTAAGTAAATGATTACTGTTTCACAAATGAGCAGTTTAGAATAATAAGCAACGTAGGAAGTTAATCCAACTTTATTGATCACTCCCTTACTGTATGTACATAAACGAAGCTAAAGTATGAAATTATATTTAGATGCCAGAAGCCGTCGCCGGATAATCATCGTCCTCCTCTTCTGGGCGAATTCGAATTGGTCGTGTTGCCAAATGCACACGAATAATTTTCCTGCATGCGATTTCTGCGGTGGCGCGTTCACGAAAAAGCGAAGAGGAACTGCAATTAGGCAAAAGTGTTATGTTTTTACTATTCCTGCTTTCCTCTTCCTTTTACGGTAGTTTCTCCATCTTTCCGCCAAGGGAAGTTCTCTCTCTTTCAAAAGAGAGGTTTTAGTGGGATTAAAGATTCAGTCAACTAGTCTGTTATGACAAACTAATTTGGGAAGAGGATATGCAGTTTTGAAGTGGCGGAACACCTCTCGGGTTGGCAGTCATCTGCTGTCGGACGTATGCCAGTAGATGGCGCTGTGAAGGAAAGATGAAGGGAAAATTGTTTTTCTGTGAAGAGTAATAGTAGGGGTTAATATTAAAGACGAGAGCAGAGGCGCATTGATGCCCTATTAAACACTATATGAAATTAGGAATTTTTGCGTCTGTTTCTTTGCTTATTTATTGAAGTCTATGATATACGTTTTTGATTGAAGAATTTCTCATTAAATACTTTGATTCAGTTAAAAAAAAATGAAGAGAACAGCCATTAAAAATAATAAAATCATGATGTATGTGATGCACTTTGAAATATAATTAAATAATTTGTAAATAATCACAAAATGAAACATTTGGAATACTTTATGTATTGTTTAGTAAAAATTTAAATGTAATAAAATTTCATGCACTATCTCAGCAAAAGAGCTATGGCTCACTTTTATTCTTTTCTTAAAACACGTTTCTTTGTAATAGTATGCCTTTTTCTATTATCTTTATTACAGGCCTTGCAAAGATAAAACTGCATTTATAACTAAAGCTTACGAAATTTCAGAAACTGTATCATGTTTCGCATTATTGCTAAATTCATATAGTTCAAAATTATGGAACATAATTTGTAATTAAAAATATTCAAATTTATCATATACGAAACTGATGCGATTTGAATATACCTACATTAAAATTTGTACTTAAAGAAACCGATTGGTGCACAGTTGAATGTTAAGTGTAAAAACACGGTTAAAAATATATGTGCTCCCCCTTTAATCAAGGTGGAAATAATAACTTCAAGGAATGGAATCAGCTCTTCAAGCACTGACACCAAGTATTCACAATTGAACACATAACTGTGCTCTCCTGCATGCTTCGTATTAATGGATAAATGGCATCCTTAACTTTTGTGTGATCGGCTGATGAATTTATCTGCCGGCTGGACAGTGTAGTTGTATGCTTACATGTGGTTAATTTATTCTTAAAAATATTTGATGTAATAAAACCAGAAACTCAACTAAACATATATTAAATTTTATTATTGATGATATTATTATCATCTGACTTGTATGTGCGCATATATTTCTCCTGGTCTACTGACTATTACTGTTAATAATTAGGATTTATGAAAGGAGCTAAAGGCCCTGGCAAACGCATTGTTACAAAAAACTGCATAATTTAGAAGATCTACTATTATACTTCTAAAAGAATTTTGTAAGTAAAAAATTTCGCATCTATTGATTGATGCTAGAAATTCTTTTGTATATTTTACATTTTATTGAAAATTAATATGTTCTAATTTACTCTAATTTATTAAAATATTGTGCGGCAGAATCAGTGCATGTGATATATATGAGAGGCGACATGAAAAGCCAAATGCTACTTCCCTTCCGATCTTTGTAATGAAGATTTTAAACCCCAAAACTGTAGTCAAACCTAAAAGCAGCTTTACGGAATAAATGAAAAGAAGCGAAAGAGAGAGAGGGAGAGAAAAAAATGCTTAACAAATGAATAATAAAAAAGACGCAAAAAGTCAAAGTGGTGGGAAAGAAATTGGTATGGGTAGCAAGGAAAGAAGGATGACTTTAAGAGATATAGGGCGCTTCTGCTCGTCTTCTTCTCTTTTCTTCAGTGGCACCTGCGCGTTCGAATCTTTGCATGCAAATGAGCACCATTTCTGATTGCGAAAAATCCCATGCGCTATCTGTGATTCCCTGCTTTGCGCTAACAGCCAAAATGACAGCAGATTTGAATCAATCAATAGATTTCGGGAGCTTCAAAATAATAAAAATAATAATATATAATATATAAAAAAAAGGTTTCCGATCTCCCCTTCTTTTCTGATATATATATAGATATATATTATTTGTTCCTGTACGTATTTAAATTCTTCGAACAGTAAAGGTAAGGATATGAGGAAAGGGAAAAATAAATAATTCTGGTAAGAGGGGGGGAAAGGAAGAAAGAAAAAAAAAACTTCGAATTTTGCGGTAATAAGGAGATTGGGAATAGGTGAGGGTGATGGGGAATGAAATGGGTACGTATAAATCTGGCGACTTAAATCTCATAACATGCCCAGTGACAGAAAAATAAATAAAAATAAAAAATAAACGTAAAGAGGCTTCTGAAATCAGATTACAGTTTGCATATTCGGCTGTTTGATTCTTTTTAATATTTCTCTTTCCGATTTTTATTATTATTATTTTTTTAGAATGAATTTTTCTAAAAAGTGGAAGGGATGATAGAGAGGAATTAAAGAATGCCTTGAAATCTCCAAGCCCCTGTCTTGCTAATTCTAGAAAATTCTACCACTTTGTTCCATAATTTTGGAGGAATATTGATCAGAATTTCTTTCACTTATTTCTGTAAGGAGATTTATTTTGCTTCTTCCGCGACCCCCTGTATAAGACTTATTTTTAAAGCAGTGTTCCTAAACTGGGATTGTTATTGGAAAGAAGAATAGAGCACATCCTTGATGAAACTTCAAATTTAATGCTTGTTTGTGTATTAAAAAATGGAAGAAAATGCTATAAACTTATGTTTTTACACTTAAGTATTAATATAAAAATATAATAGTAAATAGTTTTATGTAGTCATAGTTTAATATTATTATATGATTATAAACCATTAAAATGTAAGGCTTCTTTATTACACTGGGGAAGGTAATATTAAAACTGCATTATGATGCCATCACTGTTAAACTGAAAGTGAAAAGTTCCTCCTATTAATACGTTAAGCGCCGAACCCATTTTGTTTTTCCCGTTTAGCCCGCGGTATCCGACTTTACAGATATGATGGCGGCCGGAGATATGTTTTGAAAGAATTTGATAGAAGAATATAATTTTTTAAATTGTATATCGTCAATTAACATTAACTGATGCGGCTTACAAGAAAAGAATGCTGTCAGTCAGCGGTAATTGACGCAGCTCGAACAGAAAGTTTATTGTCAATCACCAATGACTGACAGGACGCATAACGTGTTAAAAATTAAACATTTGCATCATCACTGAAGAAGAAATTACGTACATTTATTTTTTAATGAGTTATGTGCAGATATATATATTTTTTAGACACCATTCTAACAATTTCTGGACAGACATAACAAAAACACAGGAAAATAATAATAATAATGATAGCAACAATAATAAATAATAATGACACTAAGTACATAATATAATAAAATAATGAATAAATAAATTAATTAAAAATAAAAGAATACAGTTTAAAAAAATATGAAAGCTTTCAGATTTTATATTACTCCCAAAGGGGCCTTTTGTTTTTCATTTACCTATACATACAAGTTTCGAGAGCTAAAAATGTATTGCCACTGCTCCCTTTGAAATCGCTGAGTTTCTTAAAAATTTGTTAAAAATAAAAATATATGAAATAGATTGCAGACTCATTAGGTATTTTTTTTCCTCCGAAGCTGGAGAAGTGAAAAGTGTGTAGCGCCCTCGCCAGGATTCGAACCTGGGCCTCTCGAATACGCGCCGAGTGTGCTACCATTACACCACGAAGGCATGTTGAAAGGAAGGAGAAAACACTTTATAATAAAAAAATTCGAAATTCAATATTAGGCCTTCCACGTGCCCATATTCGGGTGGAGGACTACATTTAAGTATTAAGCTCTAAGTATTATTGTTTTTTCGCAGTGCTAGAAGCATATATACATTCATGCAGATTCTTCATTATTTCATTTCTTTACATTATAATACAGGGCGATAATATTTGGTGGCAACAATATGAAAGGTGATGCAGCCGTTTATAGTGATTCGACGCAAAATGCCGTTTCGAGACTAATAGCCCTTCTGGACTAACACTCCTTTGGGCTAATAAATATATAAATGTATATAAGTAATAAAGTAATAATAAGAAAAAGAAAGATGTAGAAAATGCACATACATAAAAATCGTATGTAAGCATGTTTATGTAAATCATACTCACATCGTATACATTTAACTTCATCGTATACTTTTAATTATTGCGGATGCTCACACAATACATATATATTTTATAAATAAAAAATAATTTTCGAATTTTCATATATTGTCTGTCTGTATATTTAGCTCAAAAATTAAATTTTTGATCACTTGTGCGATTTTATGGGTTCTGCGTTATGACGTACGTACATATGTGTTTACGTACGAATGTATGTACGAATGAATGAGTACACGTATGCATTCATGTATGTACATAATTATGGATGTATATGGATTCAGAAATATATGTATGTATGTGTGTCATACACATACGTGTACATACATATATACGCTACATGCATTTCTGAATCCGGTCGTGATAACTGAAAAGGGCCATTGATATTACAAAATCTGGTATTTCTTCCATTTCTAATGTTAAAACATTGTTAAAAATAACTCTATTTTGGTTCATACGAAACTTAAAGACTTTTAGAATAAATGATATATAAACAGATAATTTAGTAAGAAATGAAATAAAAAACAATTCTGTCATAACAAAAACTGTAATAATGATAAAAGATAGTATTATAACCCCTCCTCCAAGAAATTGTAGTATAACTGAGGAAGAGGACCAAACAATAAAGAATTACTTTAACACTTGATATACGTCGTATAATAATAAGAAGTTTAATATAAAAGTCAACATAAAACTGAAAATTTCCTTTTATTTCTAGTTTCAAAAGCCACCTTTACGTGTTATTTCTTCCATGAAATTTTATAACTATTATGTATTTTGCCCAGAAGCTTAACAAGAATATGTTTTCTCATTTAGTGAAAAAAATTATTAATGCCTTGCCGAATAAATAAAGGCTTAGAAAACAACAAAATTTCGATTTAAACAAAACAAAACTGAATGAAGAATTATTCCGATTGGTTAGGTGATTATCTAACTGTGAATAAACAAACTGATGTTATTAACCTATTTCATTTAAAAAAGAAACAGGTTTTATTGTAGTCAACTCTTTTGTAATGCAAATAAAATACATTATTTTTCTGATGTGTAATTTATATTGATGTTTATTTTGGTAACAGATTTTTGTATGTTTTTTTAAAAAAAATTAGTATCTTAAGTAGCAGTCATCACTTTTAAAATACAAAATAAGTAAATAAATAAATAAGTAAAAAAATAGCTGTTCCCTGTTGCTAGATAAAAAAAAAAAAAAAAAAAAAAAAAGGAGAGAAACAGGAAACGTATTCTCATTTTTCTTCTAACTCACTAAATAATACAGCCTAAAGGATAGTCTCGTTGTTTACCAGTTCTGGATGTCGAATTATAGGTGCCAAAGTTAAGAAACATTGATGTGAAAGGATATGATTTCCTTAAATTCTTGACACAAATATTATCGCCTAGTATTGTAGTTAAAGAAATTAAATAATGAAGAATCTGCATGAATATATGTATGTTTCTCACATTGTGAAAAAACGACGGTACCTAGAGCCATCGCATTTTCAATAACGTAATCCTCCACCCGAACAGGGCCTCCTGGAAGCCCGAATTTGGAATTTGTTTTATTATCTATTGCATATTTTGTAAAATTTTAATGAATTTTCAATTAGCAAACTCAACAATTTCAAAGCGAGCAATGTCAACACTATACAGAATTTTTTTTTTATCTGCATTTCGGGAGACTCTCGGTCATGGTAAACATACAAAAATGCCCCTTTGATATGTAAGCAGGTATGCCCCTTTAAAATCTGTAAGCCTTCTTAAAAAAAAAAAAAAAAAAAAAAGAAATTTTGTTTTGTTTTTGGAATTTATTTTCTCATACCTTCCACAGATTGCTTATGAAATTTGGTTTCATTCCATTCATTAGCTTTAGATGCATATGCTTTCAAACAGGCAAAGTTATTTTATAATCATCCTATATATGGTTGCTTTGCGGAGAAAAAGGAAGGAGACTAAACATTTTTAAAGAGTGTTTCTGCAATAAATCAGAGAATAATTAGAAAATGTATTTAATTACTGTTCGCTATTAATCAATAATTATAAGATATTTAATAACTGTAAATAAATATGCGTAATCATATCAGAAAAAAAAAAGGAGGAAGGGGAAAAACAAGCAAAAACAACCTTACAAAATATTTCATGATCCCCAGAAACTGTCTTTCGACCCATGCTTCGGGAATTATTGTTTGCATGATTTACGGACAGAATGCATTTTTCAAATAGAGAGTTTTATGAGCTGCTTTATATGCGTTCGAGAAAACGCACGTCTCTAACCAGTTGTACCTTAAAATAACCAATTTTCAGGTATACAGTGGCAGTCTAAAACGTGCACGTCTTTCACAATCTTGAATAAAAAAAAATATTTGGTTGCTGTTGATCTTTCCGGTAATAGCCAGAGAAAGCAATCATACGTGATCTCGCTGAATTTGTTTTAATATTGTGACCTGACCACTTCAAACTAGCGTTGAAGAAAAGTCGGCATGGTGATAGATCTTCCCGAGAATTCCAGAGTGACAGCAGTGGGCACCAGAAAATTGCGATTTCTTTTTTCGGAGTGAGTTGTTATGCTGGACGATGAGTGAAGACAATGGCTGGACTAATTCCCACGGATTAAAGGTGTCTCAAAAACCAGTCTTTTACATTTCGTTTTTATTCACCAAAGAGAACGCGTTTCCCTTTTGTGTGCAATTGAATACATTTATTACTTTGACGTTTAGTATTCTATTCTACTCGAACACCCGTTATAGTAGTTAAAAAATAGGAATACGTAAATTTTTATCTAATCTCCAGTATTCTAAAACAGATCTCCCACTTGTGTGGAAAATCTTTGAAAGTCAGAAAAATGAAAAACAGTTAAGTCAGAATAAATGTCCGCTTTTATGAAAAAATCAAGGAGGTTAAAAAAAATGTGGAACTGATCAGTTTCCGCGATTAATAACATTTTCATGTTTTATACAGTAAACTCTAAATAAAAATTGCTTCCCTTAAAAAAAAAAAAAAAAAAAAAAAAAAAAAAAAAAAAAAAAAAAAACTGAAAGTTTTGAGATTTTAAGTTACCTCTAAAGGAGCCTTTTTTTTAAACGTTTTGTGTGTTACCTTTATTTATTAACTATCATGTTCTTTGCATTTAAACCATAAAATTCAGTTCAACAGCAATGTCGCAAAATAATTTTAAAATAAGCCTATCTTTAGAATTTCCGATACACAGTTCCGCGCGCTGGAGATAAACAGGTTCCCTCCCCCTAGAGTGTTGCCATTGCTCGCTTTTAAATCGTTGAGTTTGTTAATCAAAAATTTGTTAAAGTTTTATAAAATATGAAATCGATAATAAAACAAATTTCAAATTTGGGCTTTCAAATGCCCATATTCGCAGTAGGATTACGTCATTCAAAATTGGATGGCTCTAGGTACCGTTGTTTTATCACAATGCGAGAAACATATATGCATTTATGCAGATTCTTCATTATTTAATTTCTTCAAATATAATAGAGGGCAATAGTATTTGGTGGCAATGATTTGAAAAGTAATACAGCCTTTTAAAGTTTTCAACGCAAAATCGCAAAACGAAAACATCATCACCTTTAGTCCTTCAGGGACAAAGCCCCTTTGGACTAAAAAAAAAGGGGGGGTATCTTATTTTCTTGTATCTTTATTTTGTAAAGTATCTTTATTTTTCTTGCTCGGAGTACTTTACTCGGCTGAACTACGAAACAATTTTTTTCAACTCTAGCTCTTCTCTCAGATGCTAGATAGCTTTTGATCGTTCTTTCTTTAGACATGTTACTTACTGTTCTATCCTCGTTGAATGACATACTGTTGTAATAAATTTCTCTTGCAAATAAAGCATATCTCTCGCAATTTATTACTTGCTTTTAAAAACCGTGCCTGCTTTATTGGATGGATTAGATGCCTATTTTCTATATTTCATGTGCTTCACAATTAATGAATAATATAAAGTTTTTAAATATTCTTAGTTATTTCATAGTAATTTGAAGTAAATACATAAAAATATTCAGTTACTCTTACTTAGCTTGCAAACTAGTTGGCTATGTATGTATCTTAATTAGTTCGTTATGTTTGGTCAAGGAAAACCAAAGAAAGTCAGAGGTATTAAAAATTGAATTTCATTGAGAACCTTGTACTGTATTTTGAAATAAATGAATAGAAGTATTCATTTACATTTAAGTAGTTTAAAAGTAGTTGGTTATGCTTGCTCAAGGTATGTGTTCCATTTACTCGTATTCCTTGCGACTAAGGGAACAATGACTTTCTTGCATACGAAAGAAAGACAGCAAAATTCACCGGGAACAATTTCTTTGAGAACCTTGTTAAAGAACCTTTGATACTTAGTCAGTATAATTAATCAATAATTATAAGATATTTAATAACTGTAAATAAATATGCGTAATCGTATCAGAAAAAAAAAAGGAGGAAGGGGAAAAACAAGCAAAAACAACCTTACAAAATATTTCATGATCCCCAGAAACTGTCTTTCGACCCATGCTTCGGGAATTATTGTTTGCATGATTTACGGACAGAATGCATTTTTCAAATAGAGAGTTTTATGAGCTGCTTTATATGCGTTCGAGAAAAC